GTCAACTTGACAGAGAGTCTTAAGAAACAATGCCTATATACCCTAAGTAGTTTATTTTAACTTAAAACGTTTACATAGACTTTCATTTGAAGATACTTTGATGTAACACCAAGGCATGGACTGAATTCTTACACAAACCACATCCATAATGCATTATCTGCAACCAAAGTTTTAGTTGTTTTAATTGGAGGGTGAAATCCGTACATTTTATCAAATGATGTGAGTGTAGAACGTTTGAAGATTTTTTTTTTAAGATTTTATTTATTTATTCATAAGAGACAGAGAGAGACAGAGGCAGAGGGAGAAGCAGGCTCCCCGCGGAGCAGGGAGTCTGATGCGGGACTCGATCCCAGGACCCTGGGATCATGACCTGAGCCGAAGGCAGACGCTTAACCGACTGAGCCACCCAGGCGTCCCTGAAGATTTTTTTTTTACCATCTTATCTATTCCCTTACAGACCACATTTAAAATACAGAAGCCGTTAAAAATGAAATATAATAGCCAGTACACATGGCATTAATAGGCTTTAGGAGAAACATAACTGACTGGTAAATATTTAAAGCAAGCCTCGGGGGCAGGGGTCCTTGTTCCTGCTGGAAAGTGGCTTTGACTTGAGTGGGCAGCTTCCACGGGCATGCACTGTGTGCCTACAAGTGAACGGAAGCCCAGTGCAGACTTGGGTGAGCCTCAGAACTACTTGGCAGGCTTGAGCAGACCCAGAACGCTGGGCGCCACCTTCTGATACAGAAGGTCTGGGTGGGAGGCTGAGAACTAGCATTTATTACAAATTTCCAGATGAGGCTGATTCTACTGGTGGGGTGGGGGGGGTCACCCTCTGAGAATCACAGGCACAGTCCAACCCGGGGAGTTGATAAAAATTCTCTGTGCCGTCTTTTCCCACTTAACAAGTGAGCATTGCTGTTCATTTTAAGTTAAGCAAGGAAAAGGTATGAATTGTTGTCATGTACATTTTAGATGATCTATTGTGTTTACTTCAGGGACTGATTTGTATTACATAGAGAGGAAATTTATATATTAATTACCAGAAATTACTAGGAATTGAATTACTGCTTTCCTGCCCCTGATGTTTAGAATGATTGCACTCCGCGCTCAAAATAGCCAATTGCTTTATTTTTAGGACTGTAATTTCTTGTTTCTGAATGAGGAGAGAAAAGGTTTCAGACTCTTCCCTGCAAATGGCTTTTCTGGCAAAAACACTTTGCAAATGCGGCTCGCCTTTATTCCGGATCCATGAAAAGCCACCTCAGAGATGAGATGTAATTGTCACTCTTGTTTTCTCTTTATCACATGGGCTTTTGAAGCATGCTTGAGGTCTCCATGTGCTGAACAGGAACTGTGATGACAGGAAGTCAGGAGCAGAGTGTGCAGGTGGGTCTACAAAGCTGGTTGCATCTGACCTTGGGTTACTTGCACTGGCCATCCTGCATGGAAGGGCAGAGGAACAGAAAGCGTGTGCCGGGAAAGCGAGCAAGGCAGCTTCTGCCCTCCCAGGTGTTCAGACTGTTCTGGGTTCACTGGGGAAATGTTTAAGTCATTTGACTTATCAACCTTTTAAAAACAGAAATGGAACCTGCATTCTGACTGTCTTTGGCTGTGGGAAGCCTTAGATATGTAATAAGAAAACCAAACAGTGTTACATCATTAAGAACGATGGTGCTCAAGTAGATTTATATACATGGAATGGCATGTTGTCGAGTGAAAAAAGCAAGCTGCAAAAAGAGTTTCTATAGCATGAGTCCATTTTTGCAGGGAAACAGTGTTGAGATACAGCCGGCGAAATGTCCCTAGCAGTTATCTTAGCTAGAGGGAAACACATGTTCCTAGCAGTTATCTTAGCTAGAGGGAAACACGTTGGATTCCTGGTGTTTTTTGCTTCTTATGTTTTTCAGTGTTTGCTACTCCAACTTACTTACATAACTAAAAAAAAAAAAAAAGCAGCTATTATTTTTAAAAAGCAAATACGAGTGACCCAGAGAGACCATAATTGTCCTCTCCCACAGTTTATTTTAAAATAATTAATGCCCTTTCCTGACCTGAGACGTCCTACAAGAAGGTGTGGCATCTACAGGTTATGTGAGTGCAAAGTGATCTATCCACGGATCTTTAGCATCACTCATCTTTAAAATGCAGTATTTACCACATAATTACTACTTCAAATACTAGCTGTTTACTGGTAGGAATAAGAAACACAGAAATAGGCACAGTCATAAGTTACTGGTATCACTATAGAAACAGTCTAGGATAAATTCTATTTTTGTTCCTGTGATTGCGAAGTTACTTTTGACCTAACATAAGAATCTTACAAAGTGTATTATTTTAAATATATGTGAAATATTTTAAATATACCTTTTAAACATTATTTTAGATGTTATCCATAAGTATTCCCCCCCCCCCAAAAAAAAAACCTGGAGGATTTACTAAATATCAAGGTTACCTTCTGTTAGAGACGGGACTGGATCATCTCTCACAAGGAAATCTATATGGGCATTTTTCCGTTGCCCCCAGTTAAAGTGGTTTGAGGGGCATTTACCTAATCTTGTCTTTCTGACTCATGATGTCCCGAAGGTTGTGGCTGGATTTGAGTCGAAATACCCTGGTGGTTGTTTAAAACTTTATGTTTTAAGAATGAGAAAGCCAAGTATGTTATTTCAACACCTAAAATTAACATGATCCCATTGGCTGTGTTTTAGAAATCTCTTTCTTTTCTATTACTCTTCAGTATAAATCATTCTTTAAAAAAAAAAAGATCATGGAAAAAGTCCCATTTACATTTGAAGTTAAAAAAATGCTTTGCAGGGATGGGTTGATAGCTCTGGGGACATCGTGCGTGAGTTTGAAGGTGGATGCCTGGGTTCCGAAGGTGGGAGGTGCTTAGAGCCTCTGAACTTATCCCTAAAGCCTCCGCTTGTTTTGGTGAGTAGTAATATACTTAGATCTTTAGAGTTGTTCTCTGGGTCCAGACGTCTGCTTCCTTTGCCTCTCTTCCCACCCTTTCAAGTGTTTCTCCCTAAGGAAATACGCAGCTAGTCATTCGGGGAGTGTGACTGGGCATATTTGACTCTCTATATGTAGAGAGGTTTCCAAGCCAGGGTATCAGTGATGATGTCCACATCTATAGTGTGTGTGTTTTAAATCAACAGACATGTCCCCCAAGTCACTATAAATAACATAAGCAGGAGCATGAAAGTTCAAGAGAAAGTATTATTGGAGTATTTATCAAATTGGGGGATTTAATTTCCAACAGTTACTATACATTTGCATTTGATGTCTGTTTTGGTCATTTAAATTTGATTATTTACGGAGGTCTGAATGATAGCCAAATCTTTTCCTAAGTGGCCTAGTGCAGTCATTTTAGCTACTTCGATATTTTATAAGATTAGCACATGTCACCACAAGATAATCTCCAGAAAAAAATCTCAGGACACGTGGAAAACATCATGTTGCTCACATGGGATTTTATATAAATAATATTCTATAATATTATGGCATATTCTAGATGCCATTTTAATGATCTAGATGCTTCTTATCTGCATGTTTAGTTTTTTTAAAATTCTCTTTGTGTCATGGAGGATTAAAAGTAGTACTTTTTAAAGTAGTATTTGGTGTGACTTCATAAAAGTGGTATTCCCAAATTAACATATAAGATAATGGAGACCCGGGGAGTCCTGCACCAGGGCTCTCCAGGTCGCACTGTATGAAGGACACTTTTAAAGTTTCTGAAAGGTTTTGTTCTGCAATGAGCTTTGAAAGAAACCCCATCCTCCAACATCATACCTCATTGGCTGCAAGAGTCCTCAGTCCTATAGGCTATAGGAACACAATGTCCCAAAGGGAATGCCTAAACAGGAGGTGCCCTGTGGTCCTCAAGTCCAACTGGCACTGCCCCCAGCTAGTGGTTCCCATCTTCTGGGGCTTTCCTGCTTCTGGAAGATGTATGGGTACATCGACTCATCTGCTAACAAAATATTTACACAGCACTTACGTGCCATTCACTTCCCGAGGGGGAAACAAACAGCCTTGTCTCTTGCCCTGTTAATATTGAGATATCTAGTGGGGGAGCTGCAAACATATTGGGCAGTTCCAGCCAAGGGTGGTAAGTGCAGAGATGAGCGGGCCAGTGCGTCAAAAGGCACTATGAGGGAGGGGCACCCACCCAGACCAGGAGCTTTGGAGGAAGTGGTCTGAGTGGAGACACGAACAGCAAGAGGGCATTAGGCAGCTCACATAGCGGGAGGGAGAGAGGGGAAGGGGGGATCTGCAGGTGCAGAGACCCCGAGGCTAGGGAGAGTGTGCCGAGTTTAGGAACTAAAAGTTCAGTGCAGGTACGTTGTGTGAGGCAGATCCTTACCGGTGGCAGAAAGGAGTCTGGACTTTATCTTGACCACAAAAGGAGGCCAAGAGAGGGTTTTAACCAGAGGACTATGGTCTGAAGATCAACAGAAGTTGTGATCCTGTTGAATGATAGTTGGGTGTGTGTGTGTGGGGGGGAACGTGTGACAAGGGAGGGGAGATCTTCAGAATGGAGACACATCCAACCTTGGCAACGATTGGATGTGGATGGTAAAGCGGAGGGGAGAACCAAGCGTAATTCCGGTAAGATAAGGGCCAGCAAACTCAGCTCCGAGTGCTCACAGGGAAGTAAGACACTGACTTTAGGGTGTCCTCCCAGCTCACCCCCTCCTGGACATCCTCCTAGCCCCTAGACCCAACAGAAGTTTTTCTTTTTTCATATGTAGTTCTTAAGAATTGGATATAGCTTGCTTAAAGCTAATATGGATGAAACTATAATTCAACCAGCTTCAAGATATGGCTTTAATCCTTCACCACACAAAGAGAGTTGAAAAGAAATAACTAAACATACAGGTAATAAGAAGCCTACAGCTCATTTAAATACATAATTCACATCCGTGCACTTCGTCTGAAGGGACCCTCAGAGGATGGGCACAGCCGAGGGCCTGGAGCCAAAAAGAAGGGCTGCATCTGGTACATTGATGTAAGCTGGGAAGGATCCATAAAGACATCTTCACGATGTTTGAAGTCACACTGGAGGAGAATGCCAACTCTATCATCTGGAAGCTAGTCAAATCTTCTTGGTTTTTTCCCCTTTCGCTAGCAGCGGCATTCCATTTACTCAGATCAGCCCTGCCGCTTACATAATCATTCCCCCACCCACGGCGCGTCCCAGTGGGGGGAGATCAGGCCACCAGGAAAAACACGCGACAGACTAAGATGGTCACAACCAGGGAGAACGGGCGCCTTTTCACGAAATTCGGGTGAGGTGGCTTTATTCAAATGCATCATCCGCTTGGTTGTAGGACCAGTCTGACTCCACCACCCCAAGTCCTTCATAACTGAAGTTTTTTTCATTAGAGGTTGCATTGTTCTTCTTCCTCTTCAGAGGCTTTGCTCCCTGCAGGTGGGCCGGCTCAAACTCGGCAGAGGTCACAGTGTCGAGTCCTTTGGCAGAGGGAACCTCAGCCCCAACCGGTTCCGCTGCATCCGGATGATTGGCCAAAAGTCGGTGGCTCCTCAGCCTTTTCCTTATGTCTTCTTCTTTAGTCTGAAAAGCAGTATGAAAGAAGAAAAATGAGCCAAATAACTTGATCACACCTATGCCTGAAATGAACCCATATGGCTTGTCCATTTCATCATTCAGTCACTTCACAAACACGGGTTGAGGCACTGCTGTGGAGGACAGACACACTCCCTCCGCTCCTGGAGCTTCTGGGTGGCCCTTGGTCTCCGAGCGGCCAGGTAGGAGGATGGAGACAGAGGTCGGCAGCCCACAGCCGGGCAGGCTGCTTCTGACGGGATGGGGAACAGAGGGTGATGGGGACCAGGTGTCCTCTGATGGTCTGCACGGCCTCCCCTCAGCTTCCATCCTCCCCCACAAGGCCTCCTCCCATCCCCGCCCCAACTGAAGCTTTTCTTCTTCCCTATGAAGAAGACTCCATACTCAGAAGGGAACATTGCTTCCTGAGCCTACATGGATGAAACCGGCATTCAGTCAGCTTCAAGATGTTGATTTACCCCTGCACCCCACAAAGAGAATTCAAGGAAAATTACACATACAGCACAGGAAGCATACAGTTTACTCAAATACTTGATCCCAATCTCAAAGCACCAGATAGGAAAGGCCTATGTGAGTGCATTTCAGCAGGCAACCTGCTCAGGCAAGAGCTCCGGTACCTTCCTGCGCCTCTCCACCGCCTGCATCTTCTCTTCCAGGTCGTTCATTGTGAATGCTTTTGCTTCCTTTTTGAGCTTAAGCTTTTTCAGCCTGGCTGGCAGCTTTCTCAGCGGCGTCGTGTTTACCTGGAGGAAGACAGTTTTCAAAAGGGAGAAACAAACGTTATTCAGGGGCCGAGGAGAGATCCAGGAGAGGCAGAATACACACAGTGTAAAATGTCAGTCCTAAAAATCTACACAGGTATTTTAGCAGAGTTAAAACCACCATGTGAACGCTGGGAACAACAGAACTAATTCCTCAAAAAAAAAAAAAAAGTCTTCGAGATGTCTAGAAAAAACAACAGGCTCTTCCTGAAACCCATGAAAGAATGTAAAGATGTTCTGGAGCCAGAGAGGATTCAGGAGAAGAAAACATTCTGGAGAATTCTGGAGAACAAGCACAAGGCAGAGAAACGTAGCGGATGAGTGATGAATGTGTAGTTCAAGGTAAAAAGTTAAATCTGATAATTTTGTCCGGACTTCAAGCTCTATTACAAAGCTGTCATCATCAAGACAGCATGGTACTGGCACAAAAACAGACACATAGATCAATGGAACAGAATAGAGAGCCCAGAAATGGACCCTCAACTCTATGGTCAACTCATCTTTGACAAAGCAGGAAAGAATGTCCAATGGAACAAAGACAGTCTCTTCAACAAATGGTGTTGGGAAAATTGGATAGCCACATGCAGAAGAATGAAACTGGACCATTTCCTTACACCACACACAAAAATAGACTCCAGATGGTTGAAAGACCTCAATGTGAGACAGGAGTCCATCAACATCCTAAAGGAGAACACAGGCAGCAACCTCTTTGACCTCAGCCGAAGCAACTTCTTCCTAGAAACATCGCCAAAGGCAAGGGAAGCAAGGGCAAAAATGAACTATTGGGACTTCATCAAGATAAAAAGCTTTTGCAAAGCAAAGGAAACAGTCAACAAAACCAAAAGACAACCGACAGAATGGGAGAAGATATTTGCAAATGACATATCAGATAAAGGGCTAGTATCCAAAATCTATAAAGAACTCATCAAACTCAACACCCAAAGAACAAAGAATCCAATCAAGAAATGGGCAGAAGACATGAAGAGACATTCTTCCAAAGAAGACATCCAAATGGCCAACAGACACATGAAAAAGTGCTCAATATCACTCAGCATCAGGGAAATCCAAATCAAAACCTCAATGAGATACCACCTCACACCAGTCAGAATGGCTAAAATGAACAAGTCAGGAAACGACAGATGTTGGCGGGGATGCGGAGAAAGGGGAACCCTCCTACACTGTTGGTGGGAATGCAAGCTGGTGCAGCCACTCTGGAAAACTGTATGGAGGTTCCTCAAAAAGTTGAAAATAGAGCTACCATATGATCCAGCAATTGCACTACTGGGTATTTACCCCAAAGATACAAAAGTAGGGATCCGAAGGGCTACGTGCACCCCGATGTTTATAGCAGCAATGTCCACAATAGCCAAACTGTGGAAAGAGCCAAGATGTCCATCGACAGATGAATGGATAAAGAAGAGGTGGTATATATATACAATGGAATATTATGCAGCCATCAAAAGGAATGAGATTTTGCCATTTGCAACGATGTGGATGGAACTGGAGGGTATTATGTTGAGTGAAATAAGTCAAACAGAGAAAGACATGTATCATATGATCTCACTGATATGAGGAATTCTTAATCGCAGGAAACAAACTGAGTGTTGTTGGAGTGGGGGGTGGGGTGGGAGGGATGGGGTGACTGGGTGATGGACACTGGGGAGGGTGTGTGCTCTGGTAAGCGCTGTGAATTGTGCAAGACTGTTGAATCTCAGATCTGTACCTCTGAAACAAATAATGCAATATATGTTAAGAAAAAAAAAAGAAGAAGAAGAAGAAGGTAGCGGGAGGGGAAGAATGAAGCGGGGGAAATCGGAGGGGTAGACGAACCATGAGAGATGAAAGACTCTGAAAAACAAACTGAGGGTTCTAGAGGGGAGGGGGGTGGGAGGATGGGTTAGCCTGGTGGTGGGTATTGAGGAGGGCACATTCTGCATGGAGCACTGGGTGTTGTGCACAAATAATGAATCATGGAACACTTCATCTAAAACTAATGATGTAATGTATGGGGATTAACATAAGAATAAAAAAAAATCTCATAAAAAAAAATCTGATAATTTTGTAATATTCCACAGGCTACAAAGGCCTTTCATTTGGGATCGAGATTGGGTTTTAGTACTCTGGGTCTCAAAAAGGAGAGAATTAACAATTACTGAGCAGTGACCCTGGGCTGGCCTTTGAGTCAGGACTTTGAGAATGTTTTCATGACATTAGGAAACATCCCCGATTACTACCCTTTCTATAGTTTAAAGCAGGGATAATGACTTTCTGATTACAATTTCTAGTTATAAAAGAGTAAAATTGTTGTAAAGGATTTATTTATTTAAAGATTTTATTTATTTATTTGAGAGAGAGAATGAGAGAGAGCACATGAGAGGGGGGAGGGTCAGAGGGAGAAGCAGATTCCCCGCCGAGCAGGGAGCCCGATGCGGGACTCGATCCCGGGACTCCAGGATCATGACCTGAGCCGAAGGCAGTCGCTTAACCAACTGAGCCACCCAGGCGCCCGTTGTAAAGGGTTTATAAAGAAAGTTTTAATGTACATACTTTTTCTTTTTAAAAATTAATTTAAAAAATGTTTTTAAAGATTTTATTTATTTATTTGAGGGAGAGAGAGAGAGCATGAGCAGGGGTAGGTGCAGAGGGAGAGGGAGAAGCAGAGTCCCGCTGTGCAGAGAGCCCGATGCAGGGCTGGGTCCCAGGCCCCTGAGATTGTGACCTGAGCTGAAAGCAGACGCTTAACCAACTGAGCCACCCTGGCGCCCCTAGAAATTAATTTTTCATAACATACATTGGTCATGAAAAAGTAAAGCAATACATAAATAGTTTCCTAGGCTTCGGTTTAACCACCTGGTCCCCAGTCCTATTCATCAGCATGAACTAGAGTTTGGTATGTGTCTTTCCAGAATTCTCTATGCACATATATTTATATACATATGTATGTGTAGTACCTCTGTAATGTTAAGCCAAACAAATGGGATTATACCCTCACCAGGCTCTGCAATTTGCCTTTTTCACTTAATTTACTACAAATGTCCTTCTAGGTCAGAATATATAGATTTATGACAACCAGGGAAGGTCCCAATGAACTCTGGGGTTTCATTATAAATAAACTGATTGTTCTAGGTAATTTCTCTGAAGAATTTTAAAGACAAAAGAACTATTGATATCCATTGTAATATCTAAAAGACTGTTTCTTTATACTATAAGACTGCCCATACTGAAAATACATCCACAGAGAAGAGGTCCAGCACAATAGAAAAAGATACCAAACCAAGACTCAGACAGACCTAGGTTTGAGCCCTGGCTTGGCCATGGTGTGTCTTGGCCTGAGTTCTTAAGCTCTGTAAGCCTTGCTTTTGTCATTTTAAAAATGACATTTTAGGGGCGCCTGGGTGGCTCAGTCGTTAAGCGTCTGCCTTCGGCTCAGGTCATGATCCCAGAGTCCTGGGATCGAGCCCCACATCGGGTTCCTTGCTCCACGGGAAGCCTACTTCTCCCTCTCCCACTCCCCCTGCTTGTGTTCCCTCTCTCGCTGTGTCTCTCTCTGTTAAATAAATAAATAAAATCTTTTTTAAAAAAATGACATTTTAATAATACTTATATCACAGGATTTTCTTTCTTAAGGAAGTATCAGTAATCACTCAGGAAATGGTCATTACATTTCATTTAGTGAAAGCAATGACTTTTTAAATGAAGTTTTAAATTTTAATTCCAGTATAGTTAACGTACAGTGTAATATTAGTTTCAGGTGTAGAATAGAGTGATTCAACACTTCCATACATCACCCAGGGCTCATCACAAGTGCCCTCCTTAAACCCCTTCACCTGTTTCCCCATCTCCCCCGCCCGCCCCCCCACCCCGGCCACTTCCCCTCTAATAACTATCAGTTTGTTCTCTATAGTTAAGAGTGTTTCTTGGCTTGTTGCTCTCTCTTTTTTTCCCCTTTGTTCATTTGTTTTGTTTCTTAAGCTCTACATATGAGTGAAATCATATGATATTTGTCTTTCTCGGACTTGACTTATTTCACTTAGTAGAATACTCTCTAGCTCCATCCGTGTTGTTGCAAATGGCAAGATTTCATTCTTTTTGATGGCTGAGTAATATTCCATTGTGTGTATATACCACATCTTCTTTATCCATGCATCAGTGAATGGACACTTGGGCCATTTCCATAGTTTGGCTATTGTAAATAATGCTGCTAAAAACATAGGGGTGCATGTATCCTTCTGAATTAGTGTTTTTTTAATTTTTTGAGTAAATACCCAGTAGTACGATTACTGGATCATAGGACAGTTCTATTTTTAACTTTTTGAAGAACCTCCATACTATTGCCCACATTGGCTGCACCAGCTTGCATTCCCACCAACAGTGCATGAGGGTTCCTTTTTCTCCACATCCTCGCCAACACCTCTTGTTTCTTGAGTTGTTGATTTTAGCCATTCTGACAGGTGTCAGGTGATATTTCATTGTAGTTTTGATTCTCATTTCTCTGATGATGGGTGATGTTGAGTCTCTTTCCCTGTGTCTCTTGGCCATCTGGATGTCTTCTTTGGAGAGATGTCTACTCATGTCTTCAAGCGGTGGCTATTTTCAACACAGAATCATCACCAAGTTACAGTGTTTGTCTTGAAGGACAGGAATGGGAACCCGAATCACAGGGGCCAGCAGGAGTCCTGGGCTTTAAACCTGGGTCGACCACTAATACCCATGGTGTCACCTAGACAAAGCACCTCTTCTCTTTGGACTCTGTTTTCTTTCATGGAAAAATAGTGAGGAGGCTGAGGACCACTAGGGTTCCTTCCAGCTTTAAGAACCATGATTCTCGGGGGGCGCCTGGGTGGCTCAGTCGCTAAGCGTCTGCCTTCGGCTCAGGTCATGATCCCGAGGTCCTGGGATCGAGCCCCGCATCGGGCTCCCGGCTCAGCGGGAAGCCTCCTTCTCCCTCTCCCACTCCCCCTCCTTGTGTTCCCTCTCTCGCTGTGTCTCTCTCTGTCAAATAAATAAAATCTTAAAAAAAAAAAAAAAGAACCATGATTCTCGGAAAGCCTTTTAGAGGGAAACATTTGTTGAAGTTCTGGCTCAGTTACAGCCATCAGACAGTTTTATGTGGTGAGAAGTTTTTCACTACATGAAAACCGTGGGATGTTGGTCAAAGCAAGCTCCCCTCCCCCATCACTGTATTATTTTTATGACAATTGGCTCTCAGGCTCTCTGCTGGCAAAGGCTATTTGCTGCAAAGAGGGATGTTCTTGCTGTAGTGGTTCAGCTAAAGATACTGTGAAATTAGTATGAAAACAGTTTTTTGGGAAGTTCACTCCTGGAGGGCTAAAAGAACATGAAATGGTAATCCCAGATTCAATGAAGAAAGACTCTGTGAGGGTTTCCACAGGAGTCTGCATCTTGACTAAAGTAGATGAGAAGTTCTGAGAGACGTGGGATTTCGGGTCTGGGTGGACTCTTCCTGTGGCTTTATCCCAGATGACACCTACAAAATCAAGTACTTCCTCCTGCTTCCAGAAGTGAATCCTCCCCGTGCAGCCCTCTTCCTTTCCTTGAAAGACCTGAGGGAAAATATCTGTATTCTTTCCCACTGGATTTCCTGAAGTCAAGATTTACCAACTGTCGGCACTTGAAAATAACAATGATAACATTACACTCAGAGAGGTGCTACTCATAGAAACTCAAAAAAAAAAAAAATCGACTCTAAAACCTATAGAAGTTGCTAGTTCAATGATTGTCTTTAAGAATACCAGCAGAGGACTGCTATGCCCAAAGATGCTGTGATAAGGTTTGGATCTTATTTCCAGCCATCCTTGCTCGTATATATTCCTTTTGCTGCCGCTGTGGATTCCTCAGAGTTTCCCTAATTAACTGTTGACCCACAGATGAGCTACGTTGGCTAAGTTCCCTCACTAGAGTCTTGTGCACAGAACGGGTCCAAGCTTCCTGCCATTCCTGCTCCATCCCTTGAGGCCATGCAGCAAGGCCACGGTGTTAGCTGACATTCGTCTCACCCAGTCCATGTCCTCCTCCTTAAAAAACTCCTCATGAGGTTCAACAATGTTAGAGACTCTGATGCAAGGTGAACCAACTCCCTCACTCTAATGAAGGTTACCACACACAGAAGTTGCCGAGAGGAGGGAATAAGCTTTGGCCAGAGACAGAAGGAGTCAATAGAGAAATCAGAGTCTTGTGTTTGGAAACCCTGGGCGGGTTTAGAGACGGGGAAAAAGGAGTTTAGGAGAAAAGACACTTCAAGTAGACAATACCAACGTGGATAAATGAGAGCCAAGTACAACTCTTGTAGGGATCTATACCCATCCAGACACATAGTTTCATGTGTATATAAAGTATATACACATTTGTAATACAGCCACTTAAGTCTCTTTAGAATGTTTTAAAGTATACTGAAAGATTCACTTAGTCTGATATTTAGCTTAATATTATATTCCTTACATATCATTATAATTCCTTCTGAGTGAGGGTTTATTCTATTAGTATGAATCTGCTTGAAAGCATGTTATCTGAGGTGGGCGGGGCCCTATGGAATTGCTGTAGTATTTGCTAACAAGCAAATGACAAAAATTAAGAAAAAAAAGATGAATGGGAGCCATGGGGGATAGATACTGCCATGGAACTCCAGGGAGAGACTGGTCCATGGTGGGGAGGCTGTCCCCTGATTCAGCAGATGAGCAGAGGACCCTCACTTTACAGAATCTTCTCTTATATTTCCCTCTACATGAGAACCAAATTGCAGAAGTGGACAGATCTAACATTCCCTTGTATTTATACTCTTGGTCTACATAAGAAGTCTTGTTTTTAAAGTAGTCTCCATTAATTATTCCATTCCTCCCAGATATTTGATTTAAAAGATTTTTTTGATATCAATGAAGAAATTGTGTTACACGTCTAGTTGGCTTCATCACATTGTAGGAACTGCTGACATTTACATCCCTTTTGGCTTTTTTTTTTTTTTTTAGCCAATTTTATCATCTGTTCTTTTTTCCCTCAAAACACATTATTAAATATTGGATAGTTAAAAGTATGATCCAATTAACTATCCAGTTAAGTATGATAGTATAAATAAAAGTATGATCCAATTAACTATTATTAAATATTGGATAATTAAAAGAATGAACTGTCTAATAATATTTCTGTTCTTAGTATGGCTCCCCTTTCAGTATTCACTCATCTTTGTACATTGGCCTCCTAACTTTTCCTAGAATATGAAGACACCTGGTGTCTGATATACATATGTTCTCACTACACCTGAATCGAGAGACTTTACCTGTGACACTGTATAATTCTATCTCTCCTTCATTTCCATATGTTCCTGGGTATATCCTTAGTCCTCTACCTGAAAGTGTGTTATAGCATTATAATATTAATTATATAATTATATATAATATATAATAATACATATATAATTATTATAACATCATAACATTAACATATATATTTATTATAATAATATATATAACATTATAATAACATTTTCAGGAACAATTTAGAATTTTTTTTCATAATGAATGGGGGAATTAAATTTCTTTTTTTTTTTTTAAAGATTTTTATTTATTTATTTGAGAGAGAGAGCATGAGCAGAGGGAGTGGCAGGCAGAGGGAGAGGGAGAAGCAGACTCCCCGCTGAGCAGGGAGCCCAATGTGGGGCTCGATTCCAGGATCCTGGGATCATGACCTGAGCTGAAGGCAGACACTTAATGGACCGAGCCACCCAGATGCCCCGGGGAATTCAATTTCAAAAGATTTAACCCTTTGCAGCTTTATGATGAATTTGAGGATTTTGTGTCCACGTTGGTAGAAACCTCAGGGCAGTGGTTCTCAGCCTGAGCTGCCCCCCGGAATCACCTGGGAACTCTATAGCCAGGGCTCACCCCCCCAGTCACTGGTCCCAGGTGGGACCTGGGCGTTGGGATTTTTTGAAAACTTCCTAGGTGATTTGAATGTGCAACCAGGTTAAGGACCACGGCCCTAGGCGATAAAACACACAGCTGTATTGTTGCAAGTCTGGATTATGCTGGGACATCATGGCCCAATTGCAAAGCAAAAAGCAAAAGAAATGAAATGTGTTATTCTTGCCTACCTCTGTGGTCCTGTCACCTTTAGATCTTTTTGAGAACACTCCAGCTAGGCTCCTGACAGCAATTCCATTTCCATATAATATGAACCCAGTCTTCCTCTTGGGCTCACCTAATGATGTTATTGAAGGTCAAGCCCATAGTTGTCATTTTTCAATAGATATATTTCTTTCATGCTGTAGTTTATATTAATTAACTCTGCTGGTGCCCTTGTAAAGACTCAGTCTGAACTCATTTATCTCTGGCGTTTGAATCACTGACAGATGTTTCAATGCTGTTAGCATCAGGGTTCTACAGCATTTCCCTAAAGAAGGCATTGCTTCGCTACTGAGACTTTTCACAATCCATCCTCCTCCTCCAGTTTGCTCTTTTTCCTTTTGAGACACCTTCCTTTTTTCTGACCCCCAGAGACTCCCCAACAGCTAGAAAAAAAAATCCCTCCCTTCGTTTTCCATGTTAAAGACCCATCTTCTAGTACTTTCAAATAAGATATGGTATTCTAAAGTGCCCCGTATCATAATAGCGTCACCCAGATGTAAACTGTCATTTTACTGGCATTATCTTTTCCATCATATCATCTATTTTTACCATCCCCTGACCCCTACACTCTCTTATTACTGGCAGCCCGATAATATCATTCATGAGGTTTCGCGGTCTCCTCTCTTTTCCCCAAATACCTTCTGCAGGACGTATTTTCCTTCTTCAAAAGAAAATGCCACTTTGGCTTTTATTCATGAGTTCTCGGCACTTCCTATACGCAGAGAAGGAAATTACCTTTATTCAAACACTTAAGTGACTTGGTTGAGGTGGCAAACTTAATTTAAATAATGCATCTTTTTTATTCCCAGTTAGTTGTTTTCCCTACAAGACAGGGACAGGCAACCATAGAGGAGACTTTGATGTTCCTTCTGGTCCCTACTTCCGTCATTTCTGTGTCTTTCTTTTTTTTCTTACTCATTTCTGCTCAGACTTCTTTTCTCTGTTAATTCTTCTTTAGGATGATAGGGGTTGCCTGGGTGCTTTGGTTAACAAACAAACGAGAAAACAGACCAAAACAACACCTGCTATCCTCTTCACGGGCTTAGAACTTATTAAAAAATTAAGGACTCAAGACTTGGCCCACAACCAGTTAAAATCAAAGTAAAAATACTGCCCACACTAAGGAAAAACAATGATCAGTTAGTCAAGATGAATCAACAAAGAAAAAAAATTATAGAGTATGAGGATTTTTATCATTGTATTCATTTCCTCATGTTTGACCTTAGGGTGTATATAAGCATGTCTGTTATAGCTTTGGTATTTAGGTGTATTTCCCTATTACAGAAATCGGAGTTCAGTTTTATAGTCATAATACCTAGTACACAGGTAAGGCTTAATAAAAATTGTTCCAAGAATGAAGGCAGGTTATTCAATGGGGCTTACTGTCTCTCAAATTCAGTAAAACCCAAGATGTTTTATTGGCTTCATTAATCATTGAAGATTAGAGCAATTTCTGGAGTGCCTGACTGGCTCAGTCGGTGGACCATGTGGCTCTTGGTCTCGGGGTCGTGAGTTCAAGCCTCACATTGGGGTTAGAGGTTGCTTAAATAAATAAGCTTGAAAAAATGATTAGGGCACTTCGTGAATCTGTAGAGAAGGGTGATGTGTAGACAGGAGAGAGAATTTATGGGAGAAAAAACTGGCTTAGCTAAATGCTACAATCTGCATGGTGACTTGAAGAGTTCGCAGAATGTAACTTGCTACCGATCCTATTCTATTGCTATTTTTAACTATAAGCTAATGTTAATTATGGAATTACTTGCCATGACATCATAGGATTCTCCATTTCCAAATACTTTGCTGTGGCTTTGTATTATTCCTTGAACAATTAATTCCTCCAGAATGTCTGATGACTTTTGTCGCTCTCGGCTCTCTAGGGGTTGGGGTTTATGGATTAATCCGGTCACTAGGTCTAAAGGGAAAGAAAGAAGGAATAGAAATGTAAGCATGAACATTTTATCAATCAGATGATAAATGGATGCCTTATAAATCAGGTTACTTAACTAAATCTTAGTCTCAGCACTCTTACCTATATATCTGTTTCTATTATAAATCTTTGAATTGTTTGAAGTTCAAATTCTTAATGTTTTTACAGAGGATACACATCAGCATAATATACTGTTTACTTAGCAGGCCCCATATTAACATAAAAAGAAGTCTTTCATGTGCTGCTATGCACTACTTTTTTGTTGTAACAACACTTACACACTTGAGTATGACTACATGAGTTCTCTACACTAATTGTGAAGCTAAAGCACAGCTAGGAAGGAGATATTCTTCCAGTGACTCTTCTGAGCTGCAGTTTGGTTTCTATGCTTTGTATACAAAGGATAAACAGTGGGATGTTGCCAAGAGACTTCTAGTTCTGCAACCTTGAGTTTACAATGACGCTATCTGCTAAATCTATGTAAGTAAGAGTATGCCTTTTTGAAAAGAGTCTTAGAACCAAATCACAATTGAAGTCAAGTGATATCAGCTACATTTTTATTATTGTTTCTAAAAATGGCACTGAAACGGTTTCTTGGGGAGCCTTTATAAACTGCACTAATGAGAGAGATCCCCCCAATAGAAATCACCCAGTTCTACAAATAAGCAAGCAAGCATCTGTTTTTACAGACTCACATTATAAAATAAAGGTGCAATGAGGAGTCCTCAGAAATGGGCTATCTTCTGTTTTGTAATCATCGGGAAGTCCTGATAGTAACCAGATTCATTCCACCTAGTGGACTGAGTCTTTTTATGAAAATTTCTAACCTCGCTGGTTAACAAAGACAGTTTTCATGAATTTGTAGCGGGAAGATAAAAAAAACGTGCACACACACACACACACACTAGCCAGATGTTTCTCACTTCAGAATATTCAACTTGTTACAAGAGACTTCTCTATTGACCACTGCAAGTAACTTCAACAAATTGCCAATAATCTCATTTCTCGTCCAGTGCTGGGTCTTCTACCCTTGAAATAGACTCAATTTTCAATTTAAAGAGTGCTAGAGTGGTAAAACATGTCTTTCAAGTCGGTAAACTAGTAAACTAAAGCTTGAAACAATAGAGAAAAATTCAATAAAAAGTTAGAGGTAAATCCTCTTCAAAGAATTAGGAGGATTTTTTTTTTCTTTGAGAAGGGCTTATCTGGAAGGGTCAAAGTAATAGTTATTACTTACTGAGCACTGAGGTGCCTGGCATCATATTAGGTACTTTACATACTTTGTAACATTGTGACTTCTGTGACAGAGTTACCATTATCCCTATTGTATAAATAAACTATATGAGAGAGGCGAATTAACTTGCTTAAGGTGACACAGGTAGGAAGAGAATCAACTAGGATTTGAATCCAAGAATGTCTGACTTCAATACCCGTGTTCTCTGCCACCTCCTTCCCCAAGGTCATGGAAAGAGCTGCACTGCATGGTCCATTTCCCCTCTCAGGATGCTTATATATATTTTTTAAGATTTTATTTATTTATTTGTCAGAGAGAGAGAGAGAAAGAGCACAAACAGGGGGAGCAGCAGAGGGAGAGGGAGAAGCAGACTCCCTCTAAAGCTAAACAAGGAGCCTGATGCAGGACTCGATCCCAAGACCGTGGGATCATGACCTGAGCTGAAGGCAGGCATTTAACTGACTGAGCCACCCAGGCGTCCCATCAGGATGCTTCTAAAGAGAATGCCATAGTCGACAACTATCACTAACGTAATAAAATTATTAAAATGATTATGAAATAAAAACAACCATCTCGATCAATTTATTTTTCTGAGTCCACCAGAATACTGGCTTGACATTGACGGGGGTCACCCTACAAAGAACCCCCTCCACTATGACGGTCTTGCAACTAATCCTTGTGATTTCTCGGGATGCTGAAGACGATTGGGGGAATGTGGGAAAGTGACATGATGCTTCTTTCTGATTATGAAAGTAATACATGGTTATCAGAGTAAACTTGGAAAGTATAGAAAAAAAGAAAAATGCCCATCCTCTTACCATTCAGAGATTACCTTTGTTGCTATATCAAATTTTATTTTTACAAATTTGACATCATACTGAACATACAGTTCTGTTTCCTATGCAGTTAACATATAGATTAGTGTTTTCTCACAAGGCTAGAAATTCTTCGTAAGTGTAAAAAGTGAAGTCGTACAAGAAAACGTAGGTGAATTCATCTTTAACTCTGGCATAGGGAAAGGCTTTCTAACTATGACTCAAATTCCAGATTCAGTAAAAGAAAAGATTGATAAATTTTACATTAAAAAATGTTTGCAAGGCTGGGGCGCCTGGGTGGCTCAGTCGTTAAGCGTCTGCCTTCGGCTCAGGTCATGATCCCAGGGTCCTGGGATCGAGTCCCACATCGGGCTCCCTGCTCAGCGGGAAGCCTGCTTCTCCCTCTCCCACTCCCCCTGCTTGTGTTCCTGCTCTCGCTATCTCTCTCTCTGTCAAATAAATAAATAAAATCTTTAAAAAAAAATGTTTGCAAGGCAAAAAAAAAGCAATAAAGGTCAAATATAGATATCGCATACCTCCTGATTTGATGTACTAAACAGGGTATAATATCATTTTTTGTATTTTTGCTAAAAATGGATAACCTGAAAGTAATCGTCAGGAAATATCAGAAAGACACAAACTGAGGAAGTTTCTACAAAGTAAATGGCTTATGTCTCCAAACACATCAATCCGATAAAAGACAAAGAAAAGCTGAGGGACTGGCTCCAGATTAAAGGAGAAAAACACCGCATGATACCTAAATTAAACATGTGATCCTGGATTAGATTTTGAACATGAAATTTATTTATAAAAGACATTTGTGAGACAATTGATAAAATTTAAATATGCAGATGAGATAATGTACTGCATAAGGGGTAATTTGCTGATTGTGATCCTTGTCCTGTGATTATGCAAAGAATATCCTTGTTTTAGGAAACACATACTGGTGTACTTAGGAGTAAAGTGTCATTATGTCTGCGATTTGCTCTCAGAAAAAACCTACGTGTGTGTGTGTGTGTGTGTGTGTGAGAGAGAGAGAGAGAGAGAGAGAGAGAGAGAGAAGGAGGGGGAGAGAGAGGGACCGTGATGCATGTAATTATATCACATTCAAATGTGGTGTAATGTTAGAATTTGGGGAATCTGGGGGAAAGAATACAGGCATTCTTTGTTTTTTGCAACTTCCCTCAAGTCTGAAATTATTCAAAATAAGTTTTTTTTTTTTAAAGGAAAGACTTGGGAAGTGTTCGTGTGAAACTTGAAATTTTGAACAAATACACTCTAAAGATGGGCAGAGCAGGGATGCAGAAAAGAGACAGAAGAGAAACCGGGCAGAAAACAAATATAAAGCGTAGGTTCTTATTCATTCTGTGGGAAGGTCTTTCCTGGAAACTAATTTACACCACATCTTGGGAACACCTACTTTAAAATTCACTCCCTCCCCAGCCTGGTGTGTCTGTCATCACTACCCCGCTGGACGGACTGACCGAGGGTTCGCCCGGGTCCCCGTGCACCTTACGGTCTACAGTCTGTTAGCACCATAGACACTGAGCATCCGTGCCGAGGTCTAGGAGGAATTCCCATCAGTGGAATTATTGAAAAAAAATATATGTGCTGGCCGGACACACAGAGAGAGGAGGGGCTGCCCAGCTGTATCCCCCACCTCCTACCTCACATCAGAACCACCAGGTGAAGGCTAATATGAAATCTACCATTAGTAGAGAGTGCCCCCAAAGTCCAAGGAAAAGAATCTCATTTACTAACCCATCTATTTTGTTTTTAGATTTTATTTATTTATTTGACACAGAGAGAGAGACAGCGAGAGAGGGAATACAAGCAGGGGGAGTGGGAGAGGGAGAAGCAGGCTTCCTGCCGAGCAGGGAGCCTGATGCGAGGCTCGATCCCAGGACCCTGAGATCATGACCTGAGCCAAAGGCAGACGCTTAACGACTAACCCATCTATTTTCCAGGTCTGACATGTGCCTACGGAAGAAATGACAGTGGTGAGGAATGACATGAAAGCCTTCCCCTCAAGTAAAGCAGAGCATTTTTCCTTGAGTTCTATTGAGCTCACTTTGTTTCAGAGGCTCTTAAATCAACACTGGGGGTGGGGCAGTGGTAACTCAAGTAAAGAAAAACAAACACGGGAAAAATCAAAATAGTTTCTAGGGAGCACACCGGGTCATAATGACTTTTTCTGTGTTTTTGGAAGATGACTGTTTTGTATATTTGCTGATCCTTTGGATGGGAGACACGGGGGAAACAGTTTGATGTAGGTTGTATTTACTTTTTCAAATGGAGAACTTTCTCTTGGAAAGATGCGAACACAGCTGAAGTTTACAGGAATGTAACCAAAGTCTGTGTGAGTCTTATTCTAACTAAGGCTTGTTTCCCAACCACCAGTAAGGGCTCTTAGCTTAAAAAAAGAGAGAGAGAGAAGAAAAAAAGAAAAAAGGAAAAAAAAAAAGAGAAAAAAAGCAAGATGGTTTTAATTACTTCATCTGCAAGAAGATTAATGGTTAGCATTATTTATTCACGTAATGAAGTCCTAAGGCTCCATCTTCATGTCTCAGAGGTAGGGACTCAGCCATTAGGAGCACCGCCTGGTCCACAAAACTGTGATAAAAAGGTTGCTACCATACATTATACAATATATTTAGAGAGACAGTATTTTGTGGAGATTCATATAAATGAGGGCCATTACCTGAATTTATTCTTCTGTTTCTTTCACTAAGAGCTGGGGGACTTTCTGGGATGGTTCCAGGTAAGCTTCCCAGCGGAGCCTGGTTCTCCAGGCTGTCGGGGCTGCCCAAGGTGTCCTTGGATAGTTCAGCTTCACTCTGGGGCCTGCTGTCCTCCCCGGAATGAGTCCCACCGACATCAGCCTGTGAAAAGGGAACGGCTCCATGTGAGAGTCAAGATTTCTTAGAAAATGGTTTCTTGGAAGATGGAAACAACATCACAAGGTCTGCTTTGCAAATATTCAGCCAACTAGTACTCAGAGTGGAGGCTGAATAGCCCCAGCTCCCTGGAGATATTACCTTGCATGCAGACGTGATTCATTTAAGGGCCCCGAGATGGCTCGATGATCCTGAATTACCCAGGTGTGACCGCGAGTGTCCTTATGAGACAGAGACAGAGGGCAACGCGACTACAGAAGTGGAGAAGTTGAGACACGCTGAAGATGCTACTAGCCGAGGAACAGGAGGAATTCAGCTCTAGAAGCCAGGACACACAAGGAAGAGGATTCCTTCCTCGCAGCCGCTGAAAGGAACCAGCCCCGCCGACACCTTGACTTGAGCCCAGTGGAACTGATTTTGGACTTCAGATCTCCAGAATTGGAAGAGAGTAAAATTGTGTTGTAGCGAGCCACCAAGCGTATGACAATTTGTCATAGCAGCAATAGAAATGGATATAGTATCTACTAGGAATCTATCAGGTACAAGCTACAATGCTGAGCGCCCCGGATGACTCCAAGATGAACACGTTCATCAAGTGTGAAAAGTAAAGATATTGCGGTGTAAAAAGGTGTTTTTTTTTTTAATGAAAGTATCTTTATTGTTTTTGCTGATTAAAAAAGTAATACAGACTCATTGTAAAAATAAATAATACAGAAGGAGACTGGTGATGATCAGTTTTACGTGTCAACTAAGCTAGTCTACAGTATTGCTATTCCATCATACTAAGTGCTTGTTGAGAGAGTATTTGGTAAATGTGGTTATCGTCTACAATCTGTTGACTTTAAGTAAAAGAGAGTATCCTTGATAATCTGGGTGGGTCTCATCCAATCAGTTGAAGGCCTTAAGAGTAGAATTGAGGTTTCCCTGAGGAGGAAGGAGTTCATTCTATGGACTGCATCTTCAACTCCAACCTGTCCTTTTTTTTTTTTTTAATATTTCTCTTTTTTTTTAAAGATTTTATTTATTTATTTGAGAGAGAGAGAATGAGAGACAGAGAGCATGAGAGGGAGGAGGGTCAGAGGGAGAAGCAGACTCCCTGCCGAGCAGGGAGCCCGATGCGGGACTCGATCCCGGGACTCCAGGATCATGACCTGAGCCGAAGGCAGTCGCTGCTTAACCAACTGAGCCACCCAGGCGCCCCAACCTGTCCTTTCTGACTGTTTATGCTATCGTGTGGGTTTTGGACTTGCTTAGCCAGCCCCCATAATCGCATAAGCCAATTCCTTGTAATCTCTCTCTCTCTCTCTCTCTCTCTCTCTCTATCCAGTCAGCGAGCCATAATCCTGGTTCTGTTCTTTTGGTAGAACCTGAATGATACAGAAACACAGTAGAAAGTAAGTAGGTACTATTCCCTAGACAAAAGCACTATTAACATCTTAGTATATAACTTCCCAGATGTGTTTGTTTAAAGAAATAGAATCTTTAAAAATAATTGGAATTGGCTAATTAGCACATGACGATGCTCAATATCATTAGTCATTACGGAAATGCAAGTCAAAACCGGAAGGAGATACCACCTCACATCTACCAGGATTACTACAGTGAAAAAAACCACATAAGTGTGAACGGGGATGTGGGGACATTGGAGCCTTTGTACAGTGCCGTGAGAATATAAAATGATGCAGCCACTTTGGAAAACAGTTTGAGGGTTTCTCAAAAAGTCAAACAGAAGGGCATCTGGGTGGCTCAGGTGTTTAAGCGTCTGCCTTCAGCTCAGGTCATGATCCCAGGATTCTGGGATCAAGACCCACACTGGCCTCTCTGCTCAACAGAGAGCCTGCTTCTCCTTCTCCCTCTGCCTCTCCCCCTGCTTGTGTGCTCTCTCTCTGTCTCAAATAAATAAATAAAATCTTTTTTTTTTTTAAAGATTTTATTTATTTATTTGAGAGAGAGAGAACACATGAGAGGGGATAGGGTCAGAGGACGAAGCAGACTCCCCGCCAAGCAGGGAGCCCGATGTGGGACTCGATCCCGGGACTCCAGGATCATGACCTGAGCCGAAGGCAGTCGCTTAACCAACTGAGCCACCCAGGCGCCCCATAAATAAAATCTTAAAAGAAAAAAAAAAAAAGCCAAACAGAGTGTTAGCATCTGATCCAAAAATTCCACTGCTAGGTATATATACCCAAGCAAAATGAAAACATATGTCCACACAAAACCTTGCACACAAATGTTCAAAACTAATGTTCATAATATCTAAAGAAGTAGAAACAACCCAAATATCCATCAACTGATGAATGGATAAATATAATGTGGTCTATCCAGACCAAAGAATATTATATGGCAATAAACAGAAATAAAATACTGAAGTACGCTGCTACGTAGGTGACATTTGAAACCTTTACGCTGAGTGAAGGAAGCCAGACGCAAAGATGGGTCCACTTACCGAATATTCGGACGAGGCAAATTAATAGAAACAAGAGTATAGATTTAGTGGTTGCTTGGGAAGTGGAGGTTGGCTGCTAATGGATAGTGGTTTCTTTTGTGGGGAGGATAAAAATGCTCTAAAATTAGATTGTGGTGATGACTGTGGATTGTGCATTTTAAATGGGCAAGTTGTATGATATGTGGATTATATTTTAATAAAGCTATTTGTGACTAAATCAGGTTATATATTAAATGGTATTGTATTATTTTTTAAAAGATTTTATTTATTTATTTGAGAGAGAGAGAATGAGAGAGAGAGAGAGAGCACATGAGAGGGGGGAGGGTCAGAAGGAGAAGCAGACTCCTTGCTGAGCAGGGAGCCTGATGTGGGACTCATCCCGGGACTCCAGGATCATGACCTGAGCCGAAGGCAGACGCTTAACCAACTGAGCCACCCAGGTGCCCCTAAATGGTATTGTATTATATTTCTGTAACCTGTTTTTTTCATTAACAATGTATCAGAGACATTTGCTTCCGTCAGTGTATATAATGTATATAGGGATATATAGGTCAGTGTTTATAGGTTTACCTCATTCTACTTAATGGTGGGGAGTAGTCATTTAGTTGATGACTGTAGTGTGGTCTGTTATGTAATTACATATATCACAACTTGTTTAACCAATTCCTACTGATGGCCATCTAGCTGTTTCTACCTGTGTTTGTATATATATTTTCAATATAATGAACAGTGCTGGCATAATATCTGTGCATAAACATCAGTGTGAACTCACTCAATCATTCCATGAGAATAAATCCCCAGATATGGACATGCTGGATCCAAAGATGTACACAATTTATATGAATATGGGTTTCCAGAGGGTCCTCCATAAATCCTGCACTGGCGTACAACCCCACCTTTCCCTTTTAAGAATATCAATTTCTCCATACTACAATTCCGTTGCTTGCAAATAGGTCAAAACTCTGTAAAAAAAGGGTCCATATGTGATTTAGACAACACCCAGAATGCTGGTCCGCATCAAATCTTTCAGAGTCCCACAGCAAGAGAAGAAAAGTAAAACAAAAATGTAGTGAGTTTTTCAAAAAGCTAAATTAATTCAATTTAAAGAACTGTCATTTATTTGGAAAGGCAGCGGCATGTTCTAAATATTGGTATGTTCAGGAACACTTTTCTCCAGTTCCTTCTAACTCCCCTGCCCCCTCTCTCTCAGCGCTGGCTCTTCTTTTCTTGCTTGGGTTGATCGGCCAACCTCTTCTGCATCTAAGACACACATACCAGAGGAAGCCTCAGTGTCCCCAGGAGACCTAAGAACATAATCATCTTCTATGAGTATTGTCCTCTGGGTCTTCTTCTCATGTCTATTGATTTTGTTTTGTTGGCCCAAGGGGTGCTCTTCTTCTCCCCTGTGTATTCGAAGGGCCCCAGGATCCTACCTCCAAACCCCAGTATTTCCAGCAATGCCCTGGTACCCTAGTACCACGTTGTATCTTGCTGGGGCAGCAGAAGGTGTTGAAGAAGAGAAGATGCTTGAATTGGGTCTTGATGAATGAGTTTCCAAGAAGAAAAGTGGGCAAGAAGAAAGGATCCTTCTAGACAAGAGTCTAAGCACACAAAAAGATGGGGTATGAAACAATATTGTGAGCATATGAACTTGAATTTTTCCAGTGGAGCAGAAACAGATGGAGGTATAAAGGGGTAGGTGCTGAGGTGGGAAAGGAAAGTCAAGGAATTTGATTTTATTTTAAATGCGACAGGAATCCTTCATAGGATTTCTTTATATGGAAGTAAAATAAAATAATCAGGCATGTGTTTTTAGAAAAATCACTGGGATTAGTGCAAACTAGGGGAGCTGAAGGAAGCAAGGAAGAGACGGAGCAGGGTGGCCAGTAATGATGACTGCAATTTTCCAGGTGAGATCTGATTGAACGTGAACTAAGACAGTGGCAATGAAACTGGGGGAAAGAGACGGGCCCAGAAACATTAGAAAGGAAGACAGCACATTTCTCAGAACTTCCATTTAAAGGAGGGAGGTCTTGGGGCACCTGGGTGGCTCAGTCCTTAAGCGGCTGCCTTCAGCTCAGGTCATGGTCCCAGGGCCCTGGGATCGAGCCCCGCCTCGGACTCCCTGCTCCTCAGGAAGCCTGCTTCACCCCCTCCCACTCCCCCTGCTTGTGTTCCTGCTCTCGCTGTGTCTCTCTCTGTCAAATAAATAAATAAAATCTTTTAAAAAATAAATAAATGAGGGAGGTCTCTCTGGTTTGAAATTATGACTCCAGGCACTAAACAGAAAGCATTCCCTTTGGGAAAATTGAATTAAAAAAAAAATAGGACAACAGCATGAAACTCCTGGTACTCTCACCATAAAAATCATACAAATTAAAAAAAAAAAAAAAAAAGCTAAGCACATTTGTTCACTTTCTGGAAGCTCTCCAAAGTGCTTTGAAATCCCTCAGAGGCTAAGTAGAAATCACAGTCGCTGGGTCATGGTGGCTCCATGGTGGTTCTTGTCATTCAGTTAGGGATTCTCGTATGTTCATAGGGAGACTCATATACCTCCTCATCACCAGTTTTACATAGCATGATCGCTCCAGCTAAACCAACATCACTTTATCGTGCTGAGGGTTAATTAGATCTGTGCTTCAGGACTACATGGAAAAGTATGAAAAAGCGACCAACTGAACAAACAAACAAGTAAGCTAACAAGAAGTCAATCAATTTGAAATACAAATGGTATATGGAGAAAGCATGAGAGCAAATATGTGCTTTTTCTTTCTCTCTCCATTTGTCTTTCTTCCTAGACATAGTTACTGCCGTGTAGTCCCTGTATGGTAAGCCGACCCAGGAAAAGTCTTTATAGACATTACATATTATTGTTTATTATATCATAATCCTATTATATCAGACATGGTCTCTTTCACATGCACACACACACACTTATGCACACATATATCACAAATATATATAAATCCGTATTATTACATATAACAAAGAAAAGGAGACTGATGCTTTTTCTGGGGCTCACAGTTCATGCTGAAGGTAAAGCAAAAATCATGTTAGGTATTCTTGCCCCTCTTTCCAAATAAACTATTAAAAACCAATTATCTGCAGTGATGGTGAGACAGGTGATTTTACAACTTCGTTTTGTTTTGCAGACCCTTCGGTTTTTGGACCTAGGAAGGCACTGAGTTAAACATAGGGATGAATGCTGCCATCTAACATTTCCCATTGGAGACCCTGAAAAATTTAACCACAACAAACAAAATGCCCTTTTTGGAGCTGAGAGCAAATTTGAACATTCTCAGTCCTAAAGGTGGCTTTTCACAAAGATATTCTGTCATCTACAAGTCAGAGCATATTTAAGTTTCACAACCCTGCATGATCTCCCAATGGTTTCATCAAAGCCATGAACCCAGGCCTTAGCAAGGATCTTCGCCCTTTTATGCTTACTTAGACCCAGTCTGCCTTCAAGCTGTGTTAGTGACCAAAGCTTAAATGGTAGCAGAGGAAACACAATCTTTTGACATAAAATTACATATACCAGCCTTCAGTTTCCAGAGCAGAAATGTAAGGTTTTTCTCTTTGGAAAACTAAGTCTGTCTTTCAAGTATCTTATCTATGTGCAACACATTCTGGAAATTTTAACCCTATTTCATAATCTAGACTGGAAAATGGAGTTCAAAGACCAGAGATATTTACAAATTAATTATATCTCTGCCCCTCGGGGTATGGCAAAACAGATTTCTTGTTCTTTTTATGCATGCAGGGTTTTTATTTTCACACCAATGAGAGGTCTATCTGCCGTGGTGCTGGGGGTGGGGGTGGGGAGGTGGGGGGAGATTTTATTTTTTCCTAGAGATGAAGTTGTGGTAGAAGTACAGAATCAATATGTTTCTGTATTTTGTATCAATTATATTTTATACTTCATTGTCTTGGGGATAAAATCTTATCAATTTTAGACAGAATTGAAAAGCTGAGAATTCTAAGCTAACAGCGATGCAGGAGAATCATCAGCATTCCAAAAAAGATACTAGTTTTAACTACAGACAGAGTTGTTTTTGGTGTTTTGTTTGTTTTGGGTCTGGAGGTACTATAGGGTGTGTTCTAAATCTTTCAGGAAACACACTTGCCAAACAGGTTGGAGGGAGTCATCCGTCAAGTCTCCCCTGAGATGAAACCTTAAATCACATTATTGGCAGATGCATTTTAAAAATGTTTGTCTTGCAGACATATAGGAAAAATGTATTCTTCAAAATTTGATTTTTCTAGTTTACATCTAATGAATGTAAAAACAAATAGCAACCCTCCAAAAACACTCAGAAATATCATCTTTTAAAAATCTTGACTAGAAGAAATCACTTAGTCCCTTTTATTCTGATGATAAACAAGACTTTTCTTGTCAAAGATTAGGGAAAAACTGTGAAGGGCCCTTGGAGATGGTCTATTCCAATCTAGTCTGTTCCCTTTCATAAGAAGCCGGAAACTCGGAGTTCATCCTACAGAAGAACATTTCTCCAACTGAGAAAAGTTTCCCACGCTTTTCTCATGGTGCATTATTTTACTACCATGTCTTTTTACCACTTTAGACTAAGGTAAAAGTGAGGAGAAAGTCAGTAGGCAGGTCTCGAGAAGTTCGAGTCAGAATATTTTAAAGTTGTGCCGCTAAGACACATAAATATTTCATGCAGGCAAGCACGTTCATCTCATTTTAAAGACACCGGTGAACTACCGAACCCTCAGCCTGTGCATTTAGGAAGTTAGCAAAAGCAGCACTGCTCTGATAGCTAGAGAGTGTTTAATTAATAATCATACCTTTGCTGGATCAGATTTCCAAAGTCAAGTGCCTGGGGTGGGGAAGGAGGTATATGGGTGAGAAGGTAATAACTCAGGATTGCCCTGGAGGTCATGAAGAGGACAAGCTGGAGCACAGGTGGGGGTGGGCAGGAAGGATCCAGAGAGACCAGTTAGGAGAACTGGACAGAAGTCCAACAGAGACACAGTGACTTTCATACCCAGGGACTTCAGGAAGAAACACAGAAACCCTCCCAAGCTTGAGGAAGCTTGGCTTACAGGGACCCAGAGAGGATTGCTTTTTATCACTTCCTCCTGCTCTACCTCCTTCCTGCTCAACAAAACCATTTTCAGTAATAACCACGAAATGAAACAAAGGTTAACGGCCAGATAAGAAACACAGATAGTGAAAATTTCCTTCTATGGAAGTCTTATTCGTAATCATGCCAGTAGAGTAAATTAAAAAAAGTTTTTTCATATGAAAAGAATAAAAGCACAATGGGTTAATATTTTAAGTCACATTAATATAGTTTTTTAAAAAATTGTATTTATTTATTTGAGAGAGAGAGCGAGAGCATGAGTGGTGGGGAGGGGCTGAGGGAGAGGGAGAAGCAGGACCCCCACTGAGCAGGGAGCCCAACTCAGGGCTCTATCCCAGGACGCTGAGATCATGACCTGAGTGGAAGGCAGATGATTAACTGGCTGGGCCACCTACATGCCCCACATTAATATAGTTTTTGGAAAAAGGGAGAAAAATGTATTCCTATATATTAATTCAAAGCAGTAATGAGTAATAAAGATGACCAAATTGTTTCCAAGAAGCTAATACATCTATAAGGCAGAAGGAGTTTGAAACAAACATTTACCACGTGAGAAAGAACTGTCACAGCAGTGGTGTTTGGGCTCAGTGCTGAAGGTTAAGTAGGAATTCATCAGGTGAACTGGAAATAGGGGTCTGGGGAGGGCATTCCAGGAAGGGGGAATGGCATGGGGAACAGCATGGACGGAGTTGATGAGCGGAGGAAGGGAGCACTGCAGGTTCCTGGGGCAGACCCAGGAGTATGCGGGACTGGGCAAGATGACTTCAGAAAGAATGGCGGGACCACGTGTAGAGGGTTTTGCACACTCCAGGGATTTTTTTTTCTTAGAAAGAAAGGTGGCAGTGTGGGAGGCAGATGGGGTAGGGAGGATGCCAGTGGGAGAGGCAGGAAGACCCAGCAAGAGGTAATAGGGCCCTAAACTGGGACAGAGGCAGTTGGGATAGAAAGCAGGAAACAGGGAGGCCTGGGTGGCTCAGTCGGGTAAGCATCTGCCTTCTGCTCAGGTCATGATCTCAGGGGCCTGGGATCGAGTCCCGCATCGGGCTCCCTGCTCCTCGGGGAGCCTGCTTCTCCACCTCCTTCTGCTGCTCCCCTGCTTGTGCTTTCTCTCTCTTTGTCAAATATAATAAATATCTTAAAAAAAAAAGAAAGAAAGCAGAAAACAGTGTCAAGATGGTGGATACCAGGTCCTAAGCCCGAGTCTCTGGTTTTTTGTTTTGTTTTTTTTATTTGAGAGAGAGAGAATGAGAGACAGTGAGCATGAGAGGGAGGAGGGTCAGAGGGAGAAGCAGACTCCCTGCCGAGCAGGGAGCCCGATGCGGGACTCGATCCCAGGACTCCAGGATCATGACCTGAGCCGAAGGCAGTCACTCAACCGACTGAGCCCCCCAGGCGCCCCAGTCTCTGGTTTGTTTTATGATGTGCCCCAAGAGCACGGTAGCTACTCTAAGGGGCACCAAATGGACTGGCACATCGTCTGCTGAAAAAAAAGGTGTGCTCTTTAGACAGTAGCTCCCAAACTGCCCTTTCGGTAGGGTGACCGTAAATCCCAGTTTTCTGCGGACTGGATGGGCCTAAATCAGACTGGGCAAATTTGTTAACAGTGCTCCTTTTCCCTCTTAAAAATATCCTGCTTTTGATGATAGATTATACGGTGATACTATCTTTGGGTGACCCCTCTCCAAGGTATAGCCCTGCGGGTTCCCAGTTTCATTTGTGAGTGGAGAGGGAGAAGCAGACTCCCCGCTGAGCAGGGGAGCCTCAGGCAAGACGTCCACCTCTCTGGGCCTCAGGGTCCAAGCGAGAGGGCTCAGCCAGACAGATGGCCTCCACGATCTCTGCGAGCTCTAGGTAATTCTCAGAGGGCCCACTTTCCGGAAGCCAATAACCTACAGCAGCTCTCCGGCACTCCCGCCCCCCCCCCCCCCCCGAGAATCCCCCCCAACCCCAGCTCTGGGCAGAACGCACAGCTCTACCTGCCACTCCTGCCTCTGCCCTGGGGTGTGACCACCTCCGCAAGTTCTTGAAACACAAAAGGCTCTCAAAGCTGGTCCTGTGGCAGGAAGAGTCCTGGATTCAGCAGCAGTTAAACACCGGGGAAGAGAGCGGCTCCCACCCCGCGCACCCACCCAGGAGGGCTGTGAGCCCCTGCGGACCCAGCTCCAGCCTCCAGTCGCCCCCCAAGCGGGGCAAACGGCTTTGTGCCCGCTTGTTTGTTGTGTTTGCTCGTTGTACCTTAAATCCCTCTTCCCAGCCCTTCCTGGGCGCCGGCACGCGTCTCTGGTCCTCAGCAGCCCGGGAAGGTCCGCAGCCCATGCCGCGCGCCGCGCGCTTCCCCTCCGGCCGGGCGGGCGGTGCACCCCCGAGGGTGCTCCCTGCTGCGCCCCTGCGCCCTGCACCCGCGCCCCTGCGCCCTGCACCCCCGCCCCTGCGCCCTGCACCCCCGCCCCTGCGCCCTGCACCCGCGCCCCTGCGCCCTGCACCCCCGCCCCTGCGCCCTGCACCCTGCACCCCCGCCCCTGCGCCCTGCACCCCCGCCCCTGCGCCCTGCACCCGCGCCCCTGCGCCCTGCACCCCCGCCCCTGCGCCCTGCACCCCCGCCCCTGCGCACTGAGAGCCGGGGCTGGAGGCGCTCCGCAGCTGGGCAGTTGCCGGGAACTGTTGCCACAATAAACCGCATCACGCGGACCTGGGACCTGGGCGGCGGCGGGACGTTTGTAACTGGAAACGGGAAGATCGGAGGCGCCTAAACCACAAGGAGGATGCAAACTGCAGCCCTCTGCAGAGGGAAGCGAGGGGTGGGAGGAGCCCGCTGCCCGGCTGAGTTAGTTTTGGAAGTACCCTAGACTAAGGCATCCTGCGGGGACCTCTTATTTGTTCCTTTCTTTCTTTCTTTCTTTTTTTTTTTTTTTTTAAAGATTTTATTTATTTATTTGAGACAGAGAGAATGAGAGCACATGAGAGGGGGGAGGGTCAGAGGGAGAAGCAGACTCCCCGCCGAGCAGGGAGCCCGATGCAGGACTCGATCCAAGGACTCCAGGATCATGACCTGAGCCGAAGGCAGTCGCTTAACCGACTGAGCCACCCAGGCGCCCTTATTTGTTCCTTTCTAAGGCCCCGTGGGAGCCTCTCCCGGGCCCCCCGGACGCTGGGGACCGTGCGGAAGGCGGCGGCGGAGTCCGATCGCGCGAGCAGCTCCTGAGCGGAGGCAGGCAGTGCAGACAGACCCACGGCCCCCGACGGCAGGGTCACAGGCAGAGCTGGGGAGGGCGGTCACGGTCACGCAAACAGAAACCCACACAATGACGAAAACCAGGCATTAGGATCATAACAGCTCGGCAGCCGAGAAATGGGTTATGCAAATCATTTTTATGGAGACTGCGTTTTGTGAGCTGTTACATGGTAAGGAAAGTGCCTGGCTAGGCATACTTCTCTCCGAGAATTAAATAAAAATGGTGTCATCCACCAAAACAGGCAGACCAGGAAGACTGCTCAAAGAGCAACAGGTTCTTTCCTGGATTTCTTTTTTCTTTTTGTTCTATTTCTAAATTAATTTTTATTTTCAAGAATTAAAAAATAAAAAGCTGAAAGGGATCTTAGACATCATTTACCAACCCCTTATTTTACAGGCTGTAAACCCAGGCTCAGAGAGGTTGAGTGATTCAGATTGCGGTGGAGAGGCTAGTTAATGAGGGATCTGGAATGAGGAATAGGGTGGCCTGACTCAGTGGGTCCATGAATCCACAATACCAGGAAGATTCCAGTAAGGATTCTTGGAAATGTAAAAATCCTGGATCCTTCTGGGGAAGTTACTGGTCAGCTCTGTTAGAAGAAGCTGATTATTTACATCATAGCATTTAAGTTCATTTCACTGCCTCTCCTTACTGCTTGGATGGTGTTGCCTGTCAATTTTCCTTTCACTAAAAATGAGAAGCGAGGAAAGAGGGGATTAAACTCAAGTGGAAACATTATAGTTATTGAACAAGGAGCTTGAAGGATTTGTGAATGAAGCTGAAACAAGGCTCAGATGGTGTTTGGGGAACATATCTGAAAGTATTAACTCATGGTTATAATGAGTCACATGATATTCCAACTGGGAACAAAAAATTCTCAACTAAAATAATTTGACACAAAAGACACCAATGAAATGTTCTTGACAAAGTTTAATGAAAGTGTACAGGATGAACGATGAGAGGTTTTTCCCTTTCCTTTCCTTTCCTTTGCTTTCCTTTGCTTTCCTTTCCTTTCCTTTCCTTTCCTTTCCTTTCCTTTCCTTTCCTTTCCTTCCTTTCCTTTCCTTTCCTTTCCTTTCCTTTCCTTTCCTTTCCTTTCCTTTCCTTTCCTTTCCTTTCCTTTCCTTCCCTTCCCTTCCCATTCCTTTCCAGGCAATCTGTGAACAGAGATTTGTTAAGCCATCAGTGTGAATCAATGGGGTGGAAGCCAAATGTGTTATGCAGGTATCTCTGGAAGCATCCTATAACTTCCAAAGTTGTGAAAATGCTTTTTCTAGGGATGTGCTAGAGTCTACTTACAATGCCTCAGGAGAGCTGATTGTCAGGAATATTTGGACCTAATTGTTAAACACAGTCATTATTAAAAATTAAGTTATATAAATTTATGATTAGTTATATTAAAAATAAAGGTAATAAATACAACTTATCAGTTCCTTATTATTTTATTACAATTTACTGCTGCTATGTTTTTGAGTTTGTTAGTGTTTATTGTGCCTTCATAATATGCTACTGTGGATCTCTTTCCAACTCCACCCCCCAGTGACATCACAGCCAAAGTGGGAATATGGACACCATGAAAATCGATAAAAGGTAACAATCAGGCCTTTCTCCCCCCACCCCCACCCCTGGAGCTGGTTATTAAACATTTACGAGCCTACCTCAGCCTTTTCTCTTTTATTCTGGGAACACCAAGGAATAGTTCTACTCTGCTTACCCTTCTCTGATTTCTGCAGCCACCCCCACCCCCAGCCATGGAATATGTGTGCATATCATTTCTCCTCCTCCCTTCATTCTGGAGCCTTGTACTAAGGCTCTGTGCTGTTGGCCCTTAATGATCATGCTCTGGTCTTGGATAATTTGTTTCCACTTTGAAGGCTGCCAATGTGGAAAAGCTTTTGATTTTCACCAAAACAGGGCCATTGCTTGCCTTTTTTTTTTTTTTTAATGTAAGCTCTGTGTGCAAGTTGGAACTCAAACTCACTACCTTGAGATCAAGAGTCACGTGCTCCATGGACTGAGCCAGCCAGGCACCCCAACACTTGCCCATTTTAAAGTTTGACTACCATCCTTGGTTTTTCTCTTCAGTTTTGAATAATCTCGAGAAGGTCAACTCTCCACTTCCCTATAGAATTTAAGCCTGAGTTTTGATCTGAACTCTTTTTTCTCTGGAGTGATGAGGATATTGTAAGGACTGGTGTCTCTCAAATTGTAACGTGCACCCCCCAGAGACCTCGTTAAAATGTAGATTCCCTGAGCACCTGGGTGGCTCAGTTGGTTAAGCAACTGCCTTCGGCTCAGGTCATGATCCCAGAGTCCCGGGATCAAGTCCCGCATCGGGCTCCCTGCTCAACAGGGGGTCTGCTTCTCCCTCTGACCCTCCCCCCTTCTCATGTGCTCTCTTTCTCTCTCATTCTCTCTCTCAAATAAATAAATAAAATCTTAAAAAAAAATGTAGATTCCCATTGAGTAGGTTTCGACTGGGGCCCAAAGACCACATTTCTAACAAGCTTCCAGTGGTACTGTTGATAAAGCATCATACTTGGGGTAGGAAGCGTATAGAACACATCTGAATATTAAATCATTACTTCAAAAGACAGACGAGAAAGATGGAAGGAAGGAGAAAGAATTGAGGAGGAAAATGAGAGGTGAGAATGAACATGAAGTCCATACTTCATTTTACTTCCGTCTAGGAAGTACCTCTGAGCATAAAATTACAGCTTCTTTTCCCTCCTCTCTGGTAGAGGATGGGTCTTTGTGAGTAACTGGGTCACGGCAAGGAAGAAAAGAAAATCCTTCCTTGCTGTCACCCAGGCTCTGGAGTTAGGTTTTCCTCTTTGGCTGTTTTGAGCTAGCTATCCTTCCAGGGATGGTGGGTAGACCAGAGGGCAGAGATAGATGTTTCCTTGCGGCGCTGAGAACATTGGTGTATGAGGACAGGGTCGGTGCCGTGCAGCTGAGGGGTTTCCAGTTGCACTGAATAGAACAATTCCATGCTGACCTTCATTCCCAAACATGTCCCAAATGACTAATCACTGCAGTAATGGCTGACGGCTTGGGTGCTTGCTAAGGATTAACTGAGAGAGGGAAGCTCATGGCTATGTTGGTGTTTCTATTTTATTTCTATTTTATTAGTCAGTTATTGGCTTAAAGCCCGGATTGGAAAACTATGGGCCCCGGGCCAAATCGGGCCCACTGCCTGTCTGACACTTTTTTATATTTTTATATTTTTAAACAGTTGAAAAAAATATTGGGAAAAAAAATAGAAAAACGAAGCCCATTAATTAGTCATTTGGGACAATTACATGAAGCTCAAATTTCAGTGTCCGTAAATAAAGTTTTATTGGAACACAATCAGTCCCATTTGTTTACATAGTATCTAGGACTGCTTTTGTGCCCTGATACATGCGCTAAGAAAGGTTTTTACCCCCCGGGCTTTGCTGGAACACCCTGTTGGACAGGAAGGCTGTGGAGTGGGGAAGACCACCTCACTATGTTGAAAGGCTGTTTTGTAGCCTGGAGGTGGTGCAGGGAACATTGTAGCTTCTGGAAAAAGAAAAGAGAGTACCAGATTATCAGAAACGAGTGGCATTTTGAGTGTCTTCTTGAATTTAAAGACCTAGTTAAAAAACCCCATCTCGTTCTGGTTCTTCATGTTCCTTTGTCAGACCCTTCAGCCCAAACACTGTATATCTGGGAAACAGTCCTCTCCTTTGTACACATACATCGTGTCACTCAGATGTGAGGGGCCGCTGAAGTTTGCCTTTCTGGCAGGTTGCCTCCACGACAGTACCAAGCACATTTAGAAACCTCCTGAATCTGTCTATGAACTACCACTAGTAAAGAAGAAACAACCGTACCGGAATATTGTCACAAAAATATTCTTTTTTTTTTTTTTTTTTAAGATTTTATTTATTTATTTGACAGAGAGAGAGACAGTGAGAGAGGGAACACAAGCAGGGGGGAGTGGGAGAGGGAGAGGCAGGCTTCCCGCAGAGCAGGGAGCCCGATCCGGGGCTCGATGCCAGGACCCTGGGATCATGACCTGAGCCGAAGGCAGGCGCTTAACTGACTGAGCCACCCAGG